ATTATTCACCGGTATGAGTTACTATGAACGCACATGTAATAAGATGGGATATAATGTATTCCACTCTTTTAATGCAAATAAAGTTTTTACGCTTGTAAATGCATATAAAATACCATTTTAGTCTCCGGTGGATGTAGATCGTTGACATGCTAAACATATAAAACACCAAAATATGATTTTGTGGATATAAAGAACGTCAAAAAATAGAGATCCTATGCAAAAAATTTCAACCATTTAAAGAAAGCAAATTGGTAATATAACTTATTTTCCCGTGAACGGACTTTAAATCAATTCGTTGGATTAGCTACGCATTTCATTTAGTAAACGTGATAACATTTTCGGACTCAAGGAATAGCCTAATATTTGATTCCATTTTAGGGATTTCATTATCACAAAGCCTTAACCACTTTACAAAATTAGTCGGAACGTTGAGATCGGAAAAACATCCGAGTTACAACTTCGAATGTGTTTTTGACATAGCTATGCTACTTTTTCGATGAATATTTTTACATATTCTGAAGTGTAATTTCGTAGACATCGAACTAACATTTTCAAAAAAAAAAGTGAGATTTACATGAGGATCGAGGACGTGACATGTGTCAACATTAGAATGGTGACACTTTTCATAATGTTATGGACCTCTCCTCCGATAAATAAGAGATGGGAGGTCATCTCTCCCTACACCAATCTCTCTATCTCTCCTAAAATCTCTCTCTTTCTCCTCTCGGTTTTCCATCCACTACAAGCATTGCCACCGGAGCACCGACGATCATCTACTGCTGTTGTTGCTGTTGTCGCTCCACCTCCAATAACCCTCCCTCTCATTAGTAACTTCATTACCAAAAAACAGCCCCATAACAACTGTGAAAACATTGTTGGAAGTGGTTTTCTGGCGAGATAGGTGGTTTTACAACGAGGCTCGGGTGAACTTTGACGACGAAGATTTTCAGTTTTTCTATTCACATTGGCCTGATCCATAACTCTTTTGAGATGTCTTTTGGAAACCGAGTGTCGTTTGTGTCATCCCGATCTGAAACCCGATTTTGGCTTCTAAAACGAACTTCACAACGGTTTAAAAGCAAGCGTCGAAAATGAGTATTCACGGCCCCACTTTTAAACTCTTTAATGTTTTCGGAGAGAATACATGACAATTTATTGTTATTATTTTTATCTAAATGTTTAAATTATTGTTTAATTGTTTATATAATTATAACAGTTGTTATACATAGGTTTGTTAAACAGTGTTAAACAGTTAGTTACTTAAATCGATAGGAACATATTTTAAGATTATATATATATATATATATATATATATATATATATATATATATATATATATATATAGTGAATATACGATTAAAGGTATATAAGATTAGGTACACAAACACACCAAAAATTGTCGTTTTGTATTATACATGCAGTATAATGTTCTTAAACTTCAACCCCTAACTTGATTTACTTTCGACATTTTCGAAATTTCACTATTATCTTTCTTTTACATCACATATTTATGTCGAACACCTACAAGACTATATATATTATAGTTGAAAATGAAAACTATGTAAGAAGAAGATAATTGTGAAATTTATAAAAATGTTAGGAAGTTAATCAAGTTAAGAGTTGAATTTTAAGAACTTTGGATGATAACAGTGCATATATGATACAAAACGACGTAGTATGGTGAGTTTGAGTACCTAAACTTATAAACTTATATATATATATATATATATATATATATATATATATATATATATATATATATATATATACTAGGTTATAACCTGTGTACCACACGGGTGATAATTTAAAATAACATTAATAATTACGAAAATATAATGATTAACCATAAATTTGCTACACTTCTTTATAAGTCTAAATCATCAATTTATAAAGAATTATATACATACTTTGCTTTTCATTCCATTAGAAATCTACTACATCTTTGGCAAAATCTACCACATCAACAAAATTCATATTAAAAACACACCAAAAGCCACCTAAACACTCATAAATAGCTTGTTATTTTCAAATATACACTGATAGAATTATTTTTTGTCCAGTTGGATACAACTAAAATGAGAAATAGGTACAAAACTTATATGAAAAACTTCAAGTCATTTACATCAAGTCAGCAAAGGAAAAGAAAGATAGTTCGTTGCTAGGGATAAAAAGATACTTCAAGTCATTTCGTTGTTATTTTAATGTAATTTTTAATTTAAATACAAAAAGAAAACATAAAATATACATGAATATTACTTGTGATGGATGTGGAAAGATATATTGGTAACATGTGATTCTAAGAGGCATAAAGTTTAAAACATGACATGATTCTTTCAAAAATTCAATACGTTTTTGAAAACTAATAAAATGATAAAGTTTCACATAGAAGTTAAAAATCTAAGATGTCAAAATTTTATGTATAACTAACATACATAAATGTAAATAAATAAGTAGTAAGCACCATAGAAATCAATAGTCCTAGTGATTGAAACAAATTTTAATATTTTGTTTATGTGTAACTTAATCTCAATACTGATTGCTGAAATTATTCTAAAGAGAAGGTGATGGTAGATTCTTGTGTGAAAATTAAAATATAATCTCATTTTTGGAACTGATTTGGACGATTTTGCCCTTGATAAAGCAACCCATGTTCATCAATGTTGATTTTGGGTTTTTTTTATGAAAGACATGACTTGGAGTAGAAATTGAATTTGAATTTTCATTTTTAGCCTTGACTTGGTCGATTTTGCCCTTGCCCTGTACATCAATGGGCAAAAATGAATCAACTGTCCTAAATGCCTATCAGGTAGCGTTTCGCACACCCACTTTCCGATTACAGCTCCTCTTACCGTCAACACCTAAATCAAATTGTTTATAATCCACAAAAATTACAGCAAAGTCGAATAAAACATGAGCAAATGAGTGGTTTACTTTAAGTATCTAGGTATTACACCATAATTTTTTGAGCTTTCAGGGAAAATTCAACATATAAACATGTTTTAAGCAACCAAACACACCAAATAATCTGACCTGATGTAAATTGGGACAAAAAATATGATGTTATAGTTAACACAAATCAGACATTTTCGTAATAAAAGTCATAAAAAGGGACAACTGCAAAGCTGTTGTAAAGGAGGGACATATAAGCAAGATGTTGTAAGATTTACATCAAGTTATTATTCACTCTTGACCTCATATGATGCGGTATTTAAATCATTTTTTCACCTTTTGGACAATCACCACTCGTTTATCATACTTCATGATACTTTTTTCCTACTCAGAGGATGTAAGGGGAGTTATAACAAACAAAATTTGAAAGCACATTTCTATTTCTTGAATTTAGCCCAAATTTAAAGGGTTAAATCCAAAAAATAGCAGAAAATACCTTAAGTGATTTAGATATATTATCAAGGTGTTTGATATGTAATTATACATAACCACTGAAAGAGTATCAACCTACTTCAAAAGCTTAACAAAATCAAGATGTTTCCCAATTACAGGATAACCGGTACAAGAGAATTTAATAATCTTCATCAACAATTAGATGAACTAATCATTTTTAATCAGATGCACATCCAAGTACATGGTCTGTATAACATGTTTCTATAATCAGGGTACCCATGAATCAACTATAAATGTTTAAAGATATTTGAGGCCCATTTTATTATCCCTTAAAACAAATAAATGAGACACCTACAAATAATTTATTCATTGTATGGATATAATTTTTAGGCTATTGAATAGAGTAAGAAAATAAAATGCAACTCAGCTTGGCATTAAATCGAGCACATGGTAGGCATAATCTTCAAGACAGTCACTTGAATTGCTTCAACTTTTATTTGATTTTTACTAATGGTTGTTGAATTGGTACGAGCTTTTCATTCTCCAAATTCATGTTCTTTAGCACAAACATGGGAGGGAGAATTCATGTGGCTCTGGCTACCTCCGTGACACATTGACTAACAATCTCTTCATGTCGTGTTCCATCTTCATTTACATAACATAAGGTAAGAATAATATTGTTTTGGTGAAGACTTGGAGAGTGTTATTTGGTATCAATTGCATTAGACAACAAATAATTACTTACAGTGAATCCCAAACAAAAACAATTTTTTTTTTGTAAATTAAAGAAGACACAGGAAACATACCAATTGAAGACGCTTTTTTTTTGTGATTCAAATTATGACCTCCACGATTATGAACCCATAAAGACTGAAATGAAGAAATCTGAAAGTAAGATACATGCATGATTCGTGATTTAAGCCCTGATTTTATGGGATTTAGATGGAGTTCTTGACATAGTAAAATTAAAAATAGAATGAATCAGATCAACATTCACACATAATCCGACCAAAATCGGCAAATAGAATGAATCGGATCAACATTCATCTGAAATCACAGTCCAAGATCAGAAAAATATGGGATGATAGTCGATTTTACCTTGGTTCGTCGACATCAGTTCCTTTCTCGTTGTCTAATCAACAACGATTGCAAAGAGTGTTGAATGACTTTTAGGGTTTTCAGAGAGATAAATAGGAGGTATATTGATTCGATTTTCATCATGATTTATTGGGATTGTGATGAAAATATTGCTGATTATATGGGATTGAAAATGGAGAAGCAAAATGACGACACGTGGCCTAATATTGTGTAATATTGATATTGATTTAAGAGTTTGACACATGGCACAATGATATTAACACTATTTATTTATTAGAAAGGGAGATATATATATATATATATATATATATATATATATATATATATATATATATATATATTATTGTGTTCTAACTATTTATTGTGCGGATGTAGGTATGATTTTGGACCAATCATTTAATTTATTTTAACAAAACTGATTAATAACTAATAACTATTATTGAATTAAAAATAATTGAAAATACCATTTAATTTCACTATAAGAGTATTTTAGTCGGTTAAGATAGATTTAAAAAAGGAAAATTTCAAATTTTTTAGGGATAATTAGTTTTCTTGATTAAATGAACATCTTTAAGTATGTCAGGATATATATTTCTGACAAAATATATATTTTGATTAAATGAATATCTTTAAAAAAAACAACATTGTTGAAACATTAGTTGAAAAATAACAAGTTATAAATATTGTAATAAAATTATATATATTCTAACAGAATGTTATAAAAATAATGTTATAAAAATGAAATAAATTCTTAAAAAACATAGCATGCTTAAATATAGAATTCTTGAACAAATGCAAGTGATCTTCTTCACATGTATTCTTAAACAATAAAACTGAAGCCTCCTTATCTTTTGGAAGCTGATCCGTACACAATACGATTTTGTCGTACACAACAATTTTACAGGGATAGACAATTATACCCTTTCTTTATTTTATATTTTATTTATACCCTGCTGTTCTACAACCCTTCCCCACTTGTCATCACAATCAGTTACGAACCTTCGCCCAAAAAAAAGATACGGCCTTCGCTTCCACCATCGCCCACCGCGCTTGCTTCACCCCAGTCGCTGCCTCCGGCTTCTCCACCACCGTTGCCACCTCCAGCTGACTCCACCGCCGTCGCCCATCACATATCATTACAGGTACACACTAATGTCTTGTACAATTTCAATTTTGTTTCTAGTTTTTGATTGTTTCATGTACAAACATGTATCAATGTGTGTATTAACCGGTTTGCAAAATCACTGAATTAGAATCGTGAACTGATTTGGAATTGTGTGTATTATTGATCATAATCGTTGGGTATCAGTGGGGAAATTTGGGGTTTTCAATGAAGACTGAAAGTGGCTGCTATTGGAGAGCCTTTGGTGCTCTGTTGCAGCGAAGAAGACAACTTCTGGTTTCAGTTTATTTATCAGAAGACATTGGCCTCATGTAACTGCTGTTTCTTCTGTTCGTTATCTAGGTTACGCTCCTGGTCTATTAATGGTAGGAATCTTCACCACTCTAATGGTGTGATGATTTGGGTGAAAAGAGTGAAAGGACACAGTTTAGAGAACCAAAGGTTCTAGAGTCGTTTATTGAAGATGACATTACAGAGAGAAACTAATTTCTGTGTTCATGGTGAGGAAGATGAACAGGTCAGAACCCATGAAAATGAAGTCGATGAAATGGAAAGAGTTATTGTGAAGTATAATATGTACACATGTTTGATATTTTTTAAGTTTATACGTAACAAAAAAATCTAGGGGTAAAAGTATTTTTTTTAGTGATAAGGGGTAAGATGTAAAGTTTGGTAAAATAGGAAAAAAGGGTAAAATTGTCTAATCATAAGAAATTGTTGTGGATATCAAAAATTTGTTGGGTACAAATCAGGTCCCTTATCTTTTTGATTATTTAGGTCTGATCAGTTAGCAGGTCTACATGTGAAGAACATCGCCCTTCATAATTTTGAATGAATATTGGTCTTCCTCATCTTTAAGGCTTCCTCGTTCTAATAGAATATTGGTCATCCTCATGAAGCTGTCAATCTTGCAACCAAAAAAGCTAGCTTTTAGGAATGGAGCAATCCATCAAAATTTATAAAAAATACAAAAAAAAAAAGTTTATCCTCTAGATTATCAACTAAATTCTCAATTACAGAAGCAATGTTCGATAGAACTTAATCAACTTTGTACACGGTTGCAAATAGCGACATCCACATGGAGGGTGGGTGGTTGGAGTGGTGTCAAATTCAGGCTTCAAATCAAAATGAATGATACCTAATTCAATACTGTAATGCTTCCAAACATTGCCCTGTTATCCCCCCATTTTGCATGTTCAATAAACAATAAAATTCTAAACAATCTATTGAGATTCTGATTTGTTGATATTTACCACTGAAAAGCACATATCAGAAAATATAGATAAACAATCGCATTGTTCATTAGACCACTATCGATTCCGTTGGTAGGCCAAAACAAATTACTACCATCAAAAAATATAGATAAACACTTACATTGTCCAAATTCCTATGCCCTTTATCGCTACTTCATATTCTCCCATGCACAATCTATATAAAAACACCCAATTCAATAAAAACATTTCCTAATTAATTAAATTCATTAAATTATTCTTTCAAGATCGTTTATATAGTTTAATTACCACTGATGCGCCGCTTTTTACTTTGTATTGACTATCACTCTTTAGGTTGTTCCTTAATGTTGATTCCCGGTGTACAACATCTTCATCAGTCACAAATCCTGAATTGAGATTTAAGAATGCCGTATTTTTTCATAGATGTAAATTTTCATTAATCAAAATAAGTTAATTTTGCCTTTCTATTAGAATATAATCAATGAAAGGAATCACTACCTGAAAAAGCAACAACAGCCACAGTTCTACCTAGCATCTCTTTGATAGTTACAACAGATTTTTTAGGCAGTGGCAACTTGAAACCATATTTTGAAGGCATCACAAATGACATTTTCGACTTATCTTCATCTTCCAACTGAATATTTGCCGAAAATGGTAAATAAGAAAGATTAGAGAAGATTTTATAAACTTTATAAACATGTAAATTGTAATGGAGGTATGAACCTACCTTCTTACCATATTTCAACCCTTTTGAAATCACGTCAAGAAATCATGTGAATAGATTCATGGTGATTTCTCTGTTGTCACATCAAGTGTTGGGAGAGAGGCCAAGTCTTCAACGAAAATACCGATTTTTGCTGAGATATGGGCAGGGGCGGATTTAGGGGTGGTCCAGGGTGGCACCGGCAACCCCTAACTTTTCTGGCGCAGTGGAAAAAATTTCGAAAATTTTCAAAATTTTTATTTTTTCTATTATCGTGCAACCCCTGACTTTCCCGTGCAACTCCTACTGTGAAATCCTGCGTCCGCCACTGGATATGGGTGCGTCGGGGCCGGTGATATGTTTATGAAGTCCTTCGTCGAGGATAACAGAATGGTGGGCTAGGGTTACTGCGCCGATGAAATAGAAAGGGGAGGCAGGCGATTGGATATAGACAGCTAGGGCTTTTTGGGTGGAAGAGTGAAGTTATTGAGGAGGAAGATGCAAACTTGAAGAATAGAATCGTACGCCTCACCAGTAAAAAAGAGGTGGGTGTCTTGGCCGCCGACCACGAAGCCTCTGCGATCTGCATCTTCAAGATGATGATGGGTTTTAGAGAAAGAGTAGGAATGGGTGGCGGAGTTATAAGAACAACTGTATATAAATAAGAGGAAAAAATTAGGTTAAAATCAATATTACTAGCATGATTATAAGGAGTATTTTTGGAAGTTATTTATCAAATTACTAAATTACCCTTATTTATTTATTTAATTTTTAATTTTTTATTTAATTATGATTGGTCCACAATCATCCCTACATCCACACAATAACTAGTTATAATACTTAAACCTCTCTCTCTCTCTCTCTCTCTCTCTCTCTCTCTCTATATATATATATATATATATATATATATATATATATATAGAGAGAGAGAGAGAGAGAGAGAATTATTCATTTTACACCGGCTAAACCTAGATTTACTCGATTTACAAAATTTACACTGCCGGAATTTTGTTACAAATTTTATACGATTATTATGCATGGTCAAACATCCTATCTAGTGGCTTTATTAGTTAGTAGTTAAGAGACACACACACATACTACTCACTATTAGAAAGGTTGAAATCGGTGGTCTTCATCAGATATTCATGCACCGAACAAAGTTTAAAAACTTACTAAAACCACTGACATATAATTGTGAATTCGTCGGCCAAAGGTGTGACACACACACACACATACACACACACACACATATATATATATATATATATCATACTTTAAATTTTCTTTTATTAACTAAATATAGTAATATTTAAATTCAATTTTACCAAATATGAAATAATCTAGTTAATTACTTGAATATTTCAAATCTGATTAGTCAAGAAACTAAATTCGATAAAGAATGAAATCCTTAACTAGTTCAAGTTTTTACAAAATTCCTAAAAACTCTCTAATATTTGAAAAACCCTGGGGTTGATCGAAAATCTAAGAGATTTTTGGTGTTCTTGAAAACCTTTGAATTTTAGCATTAAATCTTTTAATAAACTAAAATATCTAGTGCAAATATCATAGACTAAGGCTGTGATATCACTGGTAGGTTTTATTGATCAAAACAAAGAACAAATTCATGGCAACGAAAGTAATTATAATTTATTCTAAGGCAAATTAAGATCTAAATCCTACAAGGATTGTTGTGTAATAATATAAACAACATAGATAGTACAAGAGATATCAACCTTATAGAAAAAATTGTATTTTGATAGCTTGAAGATCCTTTAGTCAAATGCTTGAAGCTTGTGGATGTTACACCCCCGAACCAGGACGGCAGAAACGTCCGGGGGCGGATGACAGAGATGACTACCTGTTACTGGTTCCTGAGAATACAAGTCATTTTGAAAAGCGTCAACTATAAAGTTGCTGAGTTCATAATCACTTTTGTATGAAAAGTTTTGTAAATGCGTTGTTTAAAAATGGTTTGTATATCTCCAGGAAGTCCAATATTTTCTATAAAAATGAGTGGTAAGTCTTACATCAAAAACTAAAATGTATGTATGCATGAACTTTGTTTTTGTTACTTGTAATTGTAAAACGTATGTTCCTAGAAAATCCAATATTTCCTGATGTATGAAAAACTGTAGTCTTAAAACCCTAAGACCAGATGTAACCAATAGAATACTGAAAAGTAGTATGCAGTTTTATATTTTAATAAAACTGGTAGTCTTAAAACCCTAATCCCCGTATAGATTTATACACAACTATCTCGCTCTCCCTCCAGGAGACTCTGGTTATAATGCATGACTTAAAATGTACGCTAGGTAGGTACGGTGAAGTAAATGTCTCACTAGAGCATTAACGGATTTACGCGAACTATGACTCCCTTTAATTGTATAACAAAATGATTTCACTATTTGAAAATTTATGACAGTTGTTTTATGACACGTGTTTTATAAGTTCCATGACATACGTTTTATGACATGTGTCTTATGACACGCGAACTATACTGTCATCAATTTGTTTTGCATACCATTTTGTGTAAACTATTTATAACACTTTATATAAATGGTGGGTAGTGAATATGTCTAGTAGTAGTATATGTTAGAAAAATAGCATAATATTCTTGTGTTTAACCCCATCCAAATAGTGACGACAATGATTACTACCATTTTTACTAGAAAGGTTTATTTTTAATAAAAATCATCAAAAATTTGTAGTGTTGTATATCTCGTATTTTTTCGGTTGAACTTTCGTGACATAAAATAGTTGAATTTTGTCATCTTTACCATATGATTCACAATTTTTATAAAAAATAAACTATATGGTGACTTCAACATTTTGTACTTATATAAATTTTACTTTATAAAAGTAGTACATGTAAATATCCAAAGATCAAAATATTTTTGGACTTATATAAACATATGTTTTTGTTATACTTGTATATATATATATATATATATATATATATATATATATATATATACCTATATCCACGATTTTAAAATATGTCACGATTTTGATGATGTCAACAAATGATATCAACCATATTATACAAGTAATTGTTCCATATTTAACATATAATCATAGTGCATGCAAGTGTCCAATGGACAAACTCATTTTAACTTATAACAACCTTGTAAATCACGATTTGTATGTGTAACATCCCAAAAATACAACCCAAAAATTTCGTTTTTAAAACATTATTAAAACCATCATTTCATTACCAAAGTATAAAACCATAAACTATGTGTTTCAAAATCTCATAATATCTATCACATATCAAATCTCATATCAAATGCCTTATCAAAATATTAGAGTAAAACTCCCAGGCTGAAGACTGTGGTATGTGCCATGCGATCATCCCGAGCCCTTCCCTTTGCTAGTGGAAGAACCTGAAACCAAAACTGAAAACAGTAAGCACGAAGCCCAGTGAGCTCCCCCAAACTACCACATACCATACAAGAACACATATAACACATACTGGGCATTGCCCACTGCATCGGGCCCCGCCCGACATCGGACCGAAGTCCGGAAAAACTTGGGCCCCGCCCACTGCATCGGGCCCCGCCCGACATCAGACTGAAGTCCGGAATAAAATGAACATAACATTAGCATGAACATATAACATAATCACATCTACTGCATCGGGCTTGCCCGGCATTGAACCGAAGTCCGGAACATATACACATTTCATAAACATGCATGAATCACGAAGACATCAAGCATACATAACTACTTCCCGGGACCACCCCGGCATCGGACTGAAGTCCGGAACTACTATCATCTAAACGAGTCAGTATTGTGGCCGTAGACCCGTTCCTACTGGAAGGAAACTCACCTCGTATGACTGACTGCTGAAAAACTGGGTGAGGGATCCCTATCTGCTGCTCCGACGACTCTCCGGATATAAATTCCGTAACAACACTTAATCAAAAACTGATAATCCTTCTTAGGGTAAAATGACCATTTTACCCCTGATTATAGTTAACGTCCTGACCAAAGTCAACCTTCTGGGTTGACTTACTCGCCGAGTCAACCTATTGACTCGTCGAGTTCTAGAACTCAGAAACCCTAAGATTCGCGACTCGACTCGCCGAGTCTCCATGCTAATTGACATCGCGACTAGACGAACTGACTCGTCGAGTCGTCCTTAGACTCGCCGAGTCCTAGCGTAATAAAAAAAGGGACATATCGACTCTAACTCGCCGAGTCCCTTCGTAGACTCGTCGAGTTCTGCAACTTTCGTGTCCAAGTCCTGTTCCACCCACTGAGTCACCACCTTCACTCACTGGTCCTACTCCAAATCAGAAAAGGAGTTAGGGTTCACGACCCGACTTGCCGAGTCCGAGAACAACTCGTCGAGTCCTCCTTGTGACATATCCATTTAGTCGATTCTAATCCATTTCAATGCTTCTAACTCATAGATCTGGACTCCTTAGACTAGCATTACACGTAAAGTTGCTAACTTTACATTCATGCATGATGTTATGAAGCTAAAACACTCATTCCAAGCCAAAAATGAAGGTCTATAACATGTCATGGAGTCATGGCTGAATAAAGGTGACAACTTTAGGCTTCTAAAGCTCAGAAATGTCCAGATCTGAAGTCGTTTCCTCCCCAAGGTTCAAATATAGGAATGACCTTGGAAAGGACCCAAAAAGTGAAAATATCAAGTCTATAAGGAGATCTAAATGGGTAGAAGCCAAGGTATTAGCTTTATACCTTTAATAACTCTGAGATGACCCAAGAACTCTAGATCTTCTGCCCTCCTTCGTTGTACTCACTCTTTGCCTTCCTTCTCCTAGCTTCATCCACACAAATGTAAGGAAAAATGGCTCAAGAATGCACAAGATTGATTAGGGTTTCGAGAGTAGGCTGTGAAGGTGATGGGGGCTGGGGTGAAGACCCATAATGTTTCTTAAATAGGGTGCAAACCCTAAGGATTAGGGTTTCCTCCTGATGGACCTACTCGCCGAGTCTATTCCTGACTCGAGTAGTCCACTTAAACCCCGCGATTAAACTGGCATCTACTCGACGAGTTAGG